CGCATTTTGATCGTTCGCCGTAAATCACGTGACCAAGCCGTTAACGCAAGAGAAGGACTCCAAACCCGATTCGACGTATCGTAACCCCAGGTTAAGGAAGTAAAGAGAGGATAAGAGAAGGCAAGGGTTAATAGTACTTACCTACGGATAAACCATCCGGCCAAATCTAACACGCCTATTTCAACTTAGCCGCCGTAGGTTACACGAGGATTGGAAGGAATTAGCGACAGACTCGCCGATTTGCCGCGCGACACTATTTACTGTAATTAACACCGCTGATTAAAATATTTATTATTCCATATTTGGTGGTCGGCTAAAGCGGAGCGAGTTTTGGAGCTACCTTTTTGATGCAGCTAGTGTTAGTGGGTTATATAGAATATCAAGAATGTAATTTATGCAATGTGTAGATCATATATTGAATTAACTCCGCTTTAGCCGACCCCCATATTTGGGAATAATAAATTGGATATATACCTTTTATGACTCCATAGAATCTAATGACAATCAACTCTTCGTAACAATTTAAGCTTTTATTTCAGATTATTGTTAAAGAAATTTAGTATTATACCAGGAAATAATGAAAGTTGTAACGTAATAAAAAACCTCAGTGACAAAATCTTTAATAATTTCCTCATTTAAACCTACATCGGTTTCGATTTTAAGACACTTAAGAGCAACTGTTAAGTCACAATCTTTCCATTCGTATTTAAAAACCTTTCCAAAACCTCCGATACCAATCATTGTAGGATCTGTGAATTTATCGTATTCAAGATTATTAATATGTCCTTCGGAAATAGCTTTTTTAAGACGTGTTTGCCATGATTTTTTGTATTGTACATATACGCATGTCATTTATACTTACTGACTATGTGATACTGCTACACAGCATATTACAATTGGCCTAAAATCACCAAATTTTTAATAAGAATGTAGATCTAGTTTAATTAGAGTTAGGGTACGATTTTAGGATAGTTGGCTGGAGATTGTACCTGCCATAATAATTATACAAGTACGATCATATGAATGTGTAACATGAAATGTGTAGAGGGATAGTTCCGTTCAACTTTTTTGAAGCCTATATGTTTTCATATATTAGAAAAAAAAACTTTTTTTTGGTCTTCGTTTATGCAAAATCTAGTAGGAGTTAAGTGATACTGACATAGCATATTCACATGCCATCATGCTGGTGTGGGAAAAATATGAGCGTGTGAAATTACATTTAAAATGCTGATCGTCATCGGTTATGTCGGTCAGTCCGGCTAGTATCAGTTACGGTTAATAACTGCGACTAAATGGTTATAACCGTAACCGAACCAATCCCTTTATTCTGGAGCATAATATATCAATGTTTAATAACTTTCAATTACTATCAGAATTGTTGATGAAATACTCTTGACAAAAAAAGTTTAATTTCTTTATAATGAGTGGCTTGTCATCAAATTGCGAGATCATGGATTAGTGCTTAGATTGAACTGTAATGGTTTGCTGTACTGTTTTCGTTAGATCAGGTTTTTCCTGGTTATGTTGTTAAGTAGCGAACAGACATAGATGTTAACAAATTAATGCTAAAGTAAAGAGTATTTCGTCTGGTTTCAAGCGCGAATCAGTTCAGTGAGGTGGAGGAGAAAGATGTAATGCAGTGCATTTTAGGGTGACTTTTTTAGTAAAAAAAGTTTATCTTACTCTTTGCTATAGCTTGCCTTGCAGGAAAGCTACTCTATCATCCCTCCCATCCCGCCCACGGTAATACTTGACGGTTGACTATGTAACAATGTGTAATGTCGGGCAGTAGCAGTGCAAGGACTTTAGTAATTAGGCCCCATGGCGGTGGTAGTAGTGTAACAACTGGTTTTGTAGCAATTATGCCGCAGTAGCAGGATTCGCGGCTGCGGTAACAGTGCAAAATCTTGTTTTAGGATTTATGCCTAGCGTAGTAGTGCATGAACCTTCGCAAATGGGTTGCAGGCTCCGTGGCTGAGATAACAGCACAGTGTATTTAAAACCCCAGTTTACTTCTAGTCACCATAACTTAATCCTTTATATATCTGAGTACTCGCATGACCTTTAATGATGACGATCGTACTGGTCCTGCATGGCACCGCGTGCTGCGCAGCTACCTTTTTAATTATCAATGATTTAAGAGGTCGATCACTACATATCGTTATAGTGTGAGCGATGAATTATTCTAAATTCATAATTTAATGCAAAATTGGTTTAATTGTTTTTTGTTAAATTTCCTTTTTTGAATTTTATCATTTGCATTAGTTGTAACCTGTAGATTTCATGGTACATTATACAATGAAATATGTTGCATACATAAAGTAACTTGGTGCAAGTGATACAAAACCAAAAGGAGTCGCATGCATAAAATTCATGCATCACATCACATATTACGTATGTACCTGATAGAAATAAAATTTGACGTTTCCGATTGTCACTTAAATAAATTTAACATTTTTGATGAGTTTTAGTAATAAAGGATTTATAAAATGCATAGTTCTAATGATAAAATGGATACCAGATTATAAATTTTTTTTTATAGTGTTACTATTATCGGAAAACTAAATAATTTGGTTCGTACAATTAATTTCGTCCAATTTAGATTCGGCCGTAATTGAAGAATTGTAAAAGAGTACACTGTAATGTTAAATCTTACACATATGCTTCATTTACACATATGCTTCATTTACTGTATGGAAGAACAAATAATCTTTAAAAATTCAGCTGTCAACTTTTAATTTCTGTAAATATGCCTGAGTCATTAAAGATTTCCAATTCAACCTACAATAAAATTAAATGTATTCAAAATCGAATACGTTGTTTTGGAATTTATGATAGGGTTTATTTACAATACAATTCATTAGAAATTTATTAAATTTAAAAGCACCGCATGAAGTTTTACATCTATGTTTAGAGAGGTGGCAACTAGTCCCACTGGGTACATTTATTTTTTTTACATTTACAGTGATTTTTGTCTTACGCGTTCTCATTTTGCATTTAATATTATCTATTTGTGAAGAGGATTGCTCAATAAATACTCTTGAACGTTTATGAGCGTTGAAAGAATATAGTCAACTAGATCCTGAAAAAAAAGGTTACTATGTTTTTCTAAGTAACCATTGTAAGAAAGTTCAAATTTTTGAGTTCATCATGTCCAGTGTTCATTGTAGGAAGGTTTGATATATATCAGTAATTCTAATAATGCCGGATTTGCATTCAAGCTATTCACCAAAACTTCGAGGATGTCTCTTTCGATAGTTGTGAGAATCTTGTAAACCCTTCATTATTAGCTGATTTGTTGCTACAGTATTTGGAAAGCAATTCTTCAAATGCATTAAAGGTAAAAGTGAATAGTCTTGAGATTCAGTTATCGGATAGAGTTTTGCAAAGAATAAAAATATGAAATAAGAAAAGAAAGTAGTAAAACTTTGTATTTTATCTTAACAATTAATTTATTTAATTATTGTTACGGTATCTAATTTAGAATCAATTTAAGTTGCTTTTTAATCCCGCATCACTTAACTACATTTGGATTCTAAATCAATAATAAGTCCGTTCTAATGTATGACACATACAAACATCATACAGTCAGACCTCTCTAAATGCACACCCTCGGGGCCATGGTAAAAAATTTTAAATGCGAATTTAGAGAGGTCAAGTATCTATAATTGTTATATTACTTGGGACCATGTAAAGCGTGCACTTAGAAAGGTTATATATAGCGTGCATTTAGGGACGGTGCATTTAGAAGGGTTTGACTGTACTATTTATATAACAAATTTTAGCAAATTTTATCAAAAGAAAAATCATATGAAATTGGTTCAAGGATAGTTTACACTCAGGACGGTTAGATTTATGGTTGTAATATTGATTACTGCTTAATACGTTGATTAATTTGTTGGTTAACTCACTGCACTTGCTTATAACTATTTAAACTACAGTAGAACGGATTATCAGGTTATATACCCTACCAGAACCTCCAACACTTATACAGTACCAAATATCCGGGTTTTAATTAATGGCTTTGTTTTGTGTTTGTATCATCCAAAATTTTTTTTCATTATTTCAATGAATTTTAGTATTAATATGTACACAAAATTTAAATAAATGATCGGGAATTTTCTTATAATTATTAAACAAACCTGCAAAACAAAAAAATGTGACAGGTTATTCTAATTGATCAATAGCGGCCTATATTAAATAGATTTTAATGATAGGGTTAGATTGAAAGGAGTTAGAAAGAGGATTTATGACAAGTTATATGTGTAATTTTTTTTCTTAGAGTACCAAGAGCTGTTTCGTAGGCATTTTTTCTTAATTTTGTCGAATAACCCCGTATCATATTTCGGTGTAACATACAGGAGACACCGTCCCAAATAGGGAAATGATGAATTAATGCTTTCATTTCAATCCCACAACCTATTTCTTGTAATATGATTGGCTAACTTGCATGTGACTTTGCTAAAGTAACAGCATAATTGGCCGACGCATGCTGTGTAACAATATCCATATTTGGGACCGTCTCACCTGTAGGTGTAACAAATTTCTTCGGCATTTATCCGAAAATTTACATAACAGTTTTGTTAAAAGAAAACATAACATTAAATTTATGCACTATATTCATTGTCAGTCCACAACAGTATTTGTGATTACGTAATTTATTCTGTGCATAGTTTAAAATAATTAACGAGTAATTATCAGTAGTTGACAAAAATAGTTGATACAATTATACTGTATACAATAAATATTTACCTAACTTGTATTTATGCACTAGTTTTTTAAAAATAATAATAATTTTCTTTTGTTTTTTTAGCAAATTTCTACATTCCTACATTCTTTACATTCATTTCAACTTTCTTACTCTCTTTAATCATTTTGATGCAATATCTTCATGGGTTGTTTTTCATCTAAATCAGATGAAAGAAACGAGACTATTGATTCTCAAAGTTCACAAGCTGAATTTCGATACATTGATGGTAGAAGATTTCATAACGTTGAAAATGTTAAATATCATTTACCAAATGATGAGAATGAAACGGATAGGCTACATTCTCAGCATTTTTTATTAAGATATATATGGCAAAGCAACTTTTCAGCTCCTGTTGATCATATATTGTCAAGACCAGATGCCAAAATCCTTGATGTCGGGTAATTATTAATTATTCTTTATAGAAGAAAATCACTAAAATTATAAATCTATTATGTTCCATATCATAAAATCAACAATCATACGTATATTCTATTTTAGGTGTGGTGCAGGTTCATGGTCTTTTGATATGGCAACCACGTATGTACATCCACCATGTCTGAGACATAGTCGAGAATAATTATGCTCTTTTTTTTTGGTTCCTAATTTATTAGATTCAATCCTTTATAATATTCCTCAGGTATCCATTAGCTAAAATTATTGGATTAGATATATCTTCACACCAACCAACTACTATAAAACCTAAAAATTTTGTATTCGTTAAGGCGAATGCTGAGGAAAGATTACCATTTGATGATAATACTTTTGATTTTGTATTTCAACGATATTTAACATTTGGTCTTACCAAAGAGAGGTGGCCACATGTAATAAATGAGTTGGTCAGAGTTTTAAAACCGGGTGGATTTTTAGAAGTATGCTTATTTGAAATTTGATGTAAATAATGATTGTTACTATTTTAAATAATTTGTATTTTTGATCATTCTATATTTTTTTTTAAAAAAAATAGTTATGTGAATTTTCTTCTGGTTTTGATTTAGGACCAGTTACTAAACGTTTTAGTGATTGTGGTGTGTATCTTAATGTTACATTATCTATATTCTTTTACTTACATAATGATTTATTCAATTATCATAAAGAATACGAAATATTAGAACAACAAGGCAGTGATTTTGATTCATATCAAAAGTTAGAAGAATATTGTCGAAATCAAGGTTTTTGTCCCTTTTATCTAATTATTATAATTTAAAGTATGCCATTTGTTTGCTACTAAAATTATTATAATTATTTATTATTATTTTATATTTTCCATACTAGGTCAATTAGAAAATATTAAAAAAGAAGTTAAGCCATGCTATTATAACTCAAATAGCAGTGTCGAACTTAGTAAAGCGGTAATATATTGTACAAAATGAATCGTTTAAGAAAAATTAAAAGTATTTAATAGTATTATATTAAATTAATAGATTCTTGGTAATCTGTCTTTCGCATATACTTCACTTAAACCTATTTTATCAAAAAAGTTGCAAGTTTCTGATGAAGAATACGATGAGTTGACTAAAATGTCCGAAAAAGAAGTAGTGGAGCTTAATACTTATTATAAAATAGTCCGTGTTTATGCAAGTAAAATTATTCATAAATAATAATTAATTAAAAATTCAATATGTGATTGATATGAACGATTTAAGTTAATGAAGATTAACTTTAAGACAATAATTAAAAATTAAAATCTATTTAATATACAATGATTTTTAAAATTTCTAATTAGAATTAAGGATAAGGTTTTTTAAAAAAGTTTTTATCTTGCTTGTAATTTATTTATTTATATTATTTAGCATTAATTTAAATATCTTAGATGTATATTGTTATAATTAAACAATAAATGTTATTTTGGTTCTTTTGATAGTCATTCTGTTATAATGTTTAAATAAACCAATGAGTAATTAAATAGTAATAATTTGGACTACAGAAGACTTGATTGAATAAATATAAGCTAATATTAAAAGATACTTTTAATAAATTTAGCAAAACTATAAATTATTCTAATAATTGAAATTATATATAAAAGTCCCAAATAAAAATAATCAATAATTAGTAAACTGTAACAGACAATGTAATAATGTAATTAAATTACAAATTATTATAATTTTATAATATTTTTATTTCAATTATAAGAGTTTACTAAAGTGGGTTAATATGACACATTGCTAGCTATATAATCAACAGTATTATAAACTAAAGCATTAAATTTAAATAAATTCTACAATTAATATCTATTAAAACTAATTTATAATTTTATTACTTATAATCCAAAATCTTTTAGTTAACAAATACATTTTAGTATTTATCTTTAAATAAAAATGAGGTAGTTTGCATATAAGTTGAGTTCATTTGTATTGCTATATTTTTTTCATTCTAGGAATTTTGTTGCAAAGTTAGCTAGAATATTAAAGATGCAGTAGATTTGAATTCTGTTTGAATTATGTATGCATCCTGTGCATTGTGTACAGTTAATAGTTAAAAGAAAATAGAGACTAGTATGAGAAAGGTCATGTTTAGTTAGCTAGCATATAATTGAAACAGTATTGTTATTAAAATTGTATTTGCATGTTTTGCCAATAATTATTTCTTGATGGTTGTAGTTTAAGGTAATTAGTCATAATTTAGCTTTAGAACTGTAGTGGCTGTTGTAAATGACAAGAAATTAGAAATAGGAAGGTTTAATGTTAGATCTATTTTTCTGATATAGTTGTCTGTAATAATTTTGTTTTCTAATGTAGTAAACTATTTGGGTTTTCATTTAGTAGGAATTTGTTTAAGTTTAAATAAAATGTGTATTCAGTCCAAAAGTGTGAAATTGTCAAATTATGTAAGTTGTTTAAGAAATAAAATATGTTTGTTATATAACTGTTTTTTAAAGTTGTTGTATTTAGGATGTATATATAAAAAGTTTCAATTGAAGTGTATGGATATGTTAATGTATATAGTTGTATTGAGTAGGCAGAAATTGTAAGTTGCATATGTTAAAGAAGTTTAATGATATAATGGTTGTAATATTTTTATTAGCTCTATCAATAGAAGAGTTAGAGTGTTGAAGAATATTAATAGTTAACCAGAGGTTGTTTTTAAGTTGTTGTAGTTTTATTTGAGTATTGACTCCAAGTAGATCTGTCTTATTGATATGAAAAAGAAAGTTACTAATGTGATGTTGCAGCTGTATGTTCTATATATTTTTGATTTTGTATATATTATAGTTAAGCATTGTACTGTTAGAAGCAGAAATTGGAAGTTTGATTTGTGTTTAGCTACAGTAAGGTATTTTGACAGTATTTTGTTGCATATGTTATGAGATATAACTATGTTGTGTATTTTGTATTCAAATATAGATATAATTATATTATTAATAATATAACTAGTTTATTTGTCTGTTATTTGTTTAGTTTATATAGTGCTTATTAGTTCAAGTGTTTTTTGTATAATTATTTTGAATATAATAAATTGTTTGTTAATTACTGTATACTAATATTCTAAGAATTTAAGAGGTGTATTAGAGAGTTGTGTTTGTATAGTAGTGTTTATAAAGTTAATTATAGATGTAAGCTTTGTGTTGAATACTAAAGTGGATTTGTTTGGGTTGACTTTAATGCTTGCTATCTGATAAAATGTTGAAGCTATGTTTAAGATGTCTTGAAGTTGCTGTTATAAGTTTGTAATTTATAATGTATCATTTATATAGCAAAAATAGAAGTATTAGCTTGTATTTTATAATGTTTAAGAGAAAATACTAAAGTTATTCTTGTTGTGACAGTAGTATATTCTTGAAATTTTGTATAAATATAATAAATTAGTAGGTTATAAAAATTCTCTATATAAAGAGAATCAAGTTAATAATAGTCAAACTTAACATACAGAACAGGCTATAGCACTCTTTGCAGCTATGAAAGTTAACATATAGTAACAAATTTACAAAAGCATCTTCTACTTCTTTGAATTCCATTTTATTATCAAACATTAAGAAAATATTGCAAAAACTAGTTTACAATACATCATATAATCTAGACTTATGTTATAACCAATGGCTGACATATCTGAATCTATCTCTATTTCTATATTTACAAACACTTAACTTCTTTTTAAAACATATTTATTAATATAATTTTATACAATAAAAAATTTTAATTATGTATTCAAAATATCAATCAAACTTGACTATAGTAAATATTATATATATGTACTATATAAGTTTCAACCCTTATCTGAATATTTTCTTCTATAACTATCTAATTATACCTACTATTCATCTATACCTCTCTCTTCTAAATTTTCTCTAACAAACAATAATACATTAAATATTAGCTCAAATTTTAAAGATAATGAACTTAATTGTATCTATTTTCAACTAATAAACACTATCTTAAATGACTATAACTACTATATCTGAACTATACTATAACAATACTTAATCCAATATCTGCTACAACAAATTTTTATTATATAATTGTCTTCAACTGCCTTTATATTCACATACTATTATTTCTTTTTTATAACAAATTCATAGCTTTAACTATTCTTCTGATGATACTTGTGACTACACATTAACTATTTCTATTAAAAACAACTATAGTAAAGTTCATGTTTATTTTCTATTTAAATCTAAACCTTTATATATCATTTTATTTTATTAGTTCAAACTATCTGATATTACCTAAACATTCAACTAAATTCAAACATATCAACAACAAACTTTATTATACCAACACCTCTAAACCATTAATTTTTCTTTATTCTTAGCTATTTATCTTAAATAAATCTCAACCCTTTTAATCTATCAAAACTAGATTCTTCAAATCTCTTACTTTTTTCTATTTCTAATTACTTATTAATTTTACTTTCTTAATTAACTTCAAATCTAGACCAAACTTATAATCTTAACCTTACTATTGCAACTCATAATGTCAAAGGTTTTAACACTATTACTAAAAAAAAAACCTGGCAGAACTAATACTTACAGAATAATATTTCTGTTGTTAATATTATAGAAACCAAAATATCAAACAAAACAAACTTATTTTTTTTGTAACTACAACACCTTTACTTACTACTAATCTAATTTTGAAACCTCAGCTAAGAGAATAGCTATTATAATTTGTAATTATCTTAGATCTCATATGCATAGCTGTATAATACATTTAGAAGAAGCTATTGCTTTAGATTTCTTTTTTAAAAACAATATTAAGCTTCACATAATCTTAGTATATCTTTTATATACAAATCCTATAAAATATAATGAAATATTTAATACTGTTATTAATTAGATTCAATCACAAATTACTTAAATCTTTACTCTATTGTCTTAGAAGATTTTAATACACAAGACTCTATTCACAGTTCATCAAGCAAATTTAAACTCATTAACTTTCTTAATAATTTAATATATATGATATTGAAGCATATTTCAACAACACATACTATACTTGGTCTAACATTTTAGTAGTAGTCATATAGATTATATCTGAACTGACCAATTTACTATTCAATTTCTTCTCTCATATAATCTTGATTCAAGCAATATCAGCACTCTTAGTGATCACCTAATTCTCTTATCTTTATAGATGTTTTTTAATGCATTTAGCAAACCTTTATAACATTAGACTAGAATAAGTTACAAAATCTTTAACTACAAAGCAATGAATTCTGATAAATATACAGAGTTTTCTAATCTTCTTACATCTAATTTTAATTTTCACATCTTTCTTACTACATATTTAGATGAAACTCTTCAAACAACTTGATACAAAATTGAATACTCTTTTATTAATATGGCAATACAATTAATACCAAACAAAATTAGTGCAAATAAAGTTATAATTATAAATATATCTTACATAGCACCCTATTATACTTATTACTTAAAAAACTTAGTTACTTAATTAAAATCACAAAACTAACAAGTTATCAACTAATATTTCCTCTATTAACCATTATATTTAATAATTAATCTTTAAGCACAATGTAATTTTTAACTTATTGTCTCATCTAACCATATTGAGGAATGGATTACACATGCTAATAATATCTGAAAACAGTTATATTATGTATGCAACATAGAAAATTTAATCCTTCTTTGTTAACAAATACAAAATGCTTTTAAGAAATGATATGAAACTTTTATTTTATATTTTAAACAGGCTATCAATAGCATTCTTAACTGCTATTAAGAATCTATTTATTTTTCTAATATTAAACTCCCAAACTAACTTATTACTAAATCAAATACTATTAAGCAACATATCCAAAATCATTTTGAAAACTGAACAAAACACAGACCAATTAACTATAACTTCTATTAAAACTTCTAATAACAACACTATCAACTACAATCATATATCAATCCAAATTGGTATACTTTATTTATTGAAACTATTACAACAAAAAAAGTACTTAATACAATAGCCTAACTTCAAAATGATAAAGCCTGTGGTCCTATAAGTATAAGATATAAAATAATTAAATATGTCAGTTTTATATGCATTTAATCTATTACTGTCTTATTTAATCACTGTCTTGACTCTAGCCAAGTTTTTAAACAATTGAAACATAACAAAATTTATCTTATTTTTAAGCACAATACTTTTAATAAAGA